GCAGGACCCGCCCCCCCCCCCACGCATTTCTGGCATCACTTGGGCATCCCCCGTTTTCCTCCTCCTCTTCCTCCCACTCTGGAGAATCCGAGGCATGACTGGTCCACTGGCTTTCTCCCATTTTTAGTCCCAGTTTTAACAAACTCGTCCAGTTCCTTTTTAGTTTTGTTTGTTTTGTTTCTTTTTTTTGGAGTGCAGAGAGGATGGAGGAGAAAGAGGCTGTCAAAGTAAGTGCTTTTTAGGAAAACAGGGAACGGGCAGCAACGGAGAAAAGTAGCGAGAACGTCGCCAGAGTCCCCTGTCTGGAGGTGATCCCTCGGACAGCGCTGGCCCGGTTCCTGTGTTTTCTACACATTCGCATCCTTTTTTTTTTTGACTACAACATTGTATCGAGGAACTTTTCATGTCACTGGGACCCTCTGATACTTTAAGTGGCCCTCTTCAGATTACATGTGCTGTTGTTTATTTAAACGTTTCCCTGGTACTGGACGTGTATGTTTTTCCAGTTGTTTGCAGTTATAAATCACACTGTCGTGAACATCTCCATGAGCGTGTCTTGGGCCCCGTCTCTGGTTATTTTCCTTGGAATAGATTGCCAGGAGTAGGCACGTTGCAACATGCGGCTGGCACGCCAGTGCGGGCCGCGGGCATCCTCGCATGGCTGACTCCCCCTGCTCGTGCCCCACATCCTGCCGCCAGAACGTGGCCTGGTTCTTTCGTGTTCCTTCTGGACTCAGAGCCTCGATGGCTCGGGCCACTGGCTGGCCCTCCCCAGCCTTTGTAACCACCACCCATGTGGGGGGGGGGTCTCTGCCGTCCCGTCCACGTCAGTCCAGCGAAGCCCTCGACGTCAAGACCAGGTCCCTCTGTCCCTCCATCCCTGTCGCCCTGGTGGCCACACCAGCAGTGCCGCCTTCTCCCCGGCAGCCCCCGGCCCTGGAGGACCGGCTCAGCACCCTGCTGGCGCCGCTTGTCATCTCCTCCTCGACGATGCTGGAGAAGCTCTCGGACACGTACACCTGCTTCTCCACGGAAGACGGCCGCTCCCTGTACGTCCTGCACCTGGTGAGTGGGGGCCTGGGCCTGCCACGCTCCTCCCTCTGCTCCGTGGGGCGCCCACGGACCCCTCCCCGGCATGACCTCAGGCTCCTTCGGAATGCAGAGTCCCCGGGACCCAAGCCTGCCCGCGCTCGGCCTCCAGGGTTGGGACGGGCACAGGGCGTGCCCAGGCCTGGCTGACCCGGCCCGGCTGTGCCCGCAGTTTGGAGAGTGCCTGTTTGTCGCCATCAACGGGGACCACACCGAGAGCGAGGCGGACCTGCGGCGGAAGCTGTATGTGCTCAAGTACCTGTTCGAGGTGCACTTCGGCCTGGTCACCGTGGATGGCCAGCTCATCCGGAAAGAGTGAGTCCTTGGGCTGCCTGCCCTGCGGCCTGTGCTCTGGCGGGGTCAGCCGACAGGGCCCACACTCGCTCTTGGCCGGGTCCTTGGTTAGATACGTGGAGCTCAGAGGAGCCTCAGAGGCATCTGGTCCGACCCCTCCCTTTGTACCCGGGGACACTGAGGGCAGAGAACTTAGGTAGCTTGCCCAGGGTCATCCTGCAAGCAGGTGGCCACATCCAGCCTAGAGACCTGACTCAGGACTCTCTGTCCAGTGCTCTTTCCATTCCCCGGACATCAGTCGCCGTTGTTACAGACCTCGTGTGCGTGCGTCGCCTCTGGCTTCTCAGAGGCGTGTTAGACTCTCCCTCCAGAAGAACCCTTCCCCGTGCACGCTGTCCAGTCTCGTGAATGTCTTCTGAGGGGACAGACCTGAAACATATCTCTAGGCAGTAGAGCACTCGGGGAATGAGAATGGCTCAGAGTACCTGTGAGGTGGGAAGGGACCCAGACGAGGAGTGGGTGAAAGTGGGCCTGGAGAGGGGAGTCACGAGGGATCCCCGTTCCCCAGTGTGACCGGAAACCCTGCCGTGTTAGGAGCAGGTCCCGTATGTCCTGAGGGCTGAGGGCTTTCCGCCGGGCTGCAGGTGTTGGGGCAGACCCAGTCTGGATGGCCGTGGCCACGCTTGGCCTGAGAGCACCCCAGAGCTCCCTGTTTCCAGTGGCCCCGTGTGATTGGTGTGGGGCACCCGGGCGCTGTCCTGCCCTCCCTGGCTGGCTCTGTACCACCCGTCTGCAAGACACTGAGGCCTGAGCAATTTGAGGTCCTGCCCCAGCTCCATGGTCACCCTGCAGCTGGGACGCGACCGGAAACCCGGCCCCCTGCCCGTGCAGGCTCTCCCACAATGTGGGTGTGTTGGGGGCTCCCCAGGCCGACGCCGGGCTGGGCAGTGGGCCTCCAACTGGGTAGGCCAGCCTTCTTAGGGTCTCTTCCGTTCTCTCCGGCTCTGTCCCAGGCTGCGGCCCCCAGACCTGGAGCAGCGTGTGTGCGTGTGGGAGCGCTTCCAGAGCCTTCTGTGGACCTACGGCCGCCTGCGGGAGCAGGAACAGTGCTTTGCCGTGGAGGTGACCGTGGCTGCGGGAGGCGTTGGGCTGGAGGGGGCGTCGGGTCAGGGGGCGGCACCGTCTTTCAGCCCTGGCGAGGGAGGGCGCAGGCACCCCAAGGCTCATGTGTTGGGGGAGACTTGTGCTGTGTGGCCCTGGCCGCTGGCTGCTCTGGCGGGCCCTCCCGTGGTATGGCAGCTCGATCCTGAAGCGCACAGGCTTGTCAGAGCAGTTTGGGGGCTTGCTGTAAGTTACGGGAATCTTTAAAGATCGTGTCTTCAGCCCCGTCCTCCTCCCCCCACAAAAACTGTGTTGAGCTGAAACTAGAGTGGACAGCAGCCTCAAGACCACCCTGAGTGCCAGTGATACCACAGGATGGCCGGGAAGCAGCCTTGGGCCAGCAGCAGGGAAGGGGTGTGAGCCTGCAACTGTAGGTCAAGCCCAGCCCTGGGAACAAGCAGCCGTTGGCCAGTCGCACTCCCTGGCTCCCTGCAGAGGCCTCTTGACCACAGTGGCTCTCTCTGTCCGGTGTGTATCTGCGTCATCAGCAGGGCTTGTGAAATGCAGGTTCCTGGAGTTTCTCACTCAGTAAGTCTGTGGTGGGGGCTCTAGAATTTGCATTTCTAAAACACTTCCAAGTGATGTTGATTGTGCTAGTCCAGGAATCACACTTTGAAAAGCACTGCTCTGGGGGACAGACTAAGATCAAACAGATAGAAGCTTACAATTGAAGGTCAGATAGACAAAATAAGCCACCAGGAGTGAGAATAAGGGGAGTCAGTCACAAACAGATGTAGATCCCAAGGAGCTTGAAATATTGAAATTCTTAGGTATAGAATATAAAATAGCTACAAAATAAAGTCATAAAAGGTAGAATCACAAAAATGAACAAATAGCAAGAGATTTTAAAATGACCAGACAGATTTGAAGAAGAACCCATACAGATATTTTAGAAATGAAAACGTAATTGTTAAAATGAAAAACTCAAAGGATGTGTTAAGTAGCAGATGAGACATAGCTAGAGAGAGTTAGTGAACTGGAAAATAGATATGAAGGAATTCATTCTCACCACCTGCTCATTCACTCTTCCAATAAACATATAGTACCTATATTTTGCAAAGAGATGTGCCAGGCCCTAGGAATAAGAGATGAATGAGACACAATCCTGAAGGATTAGCCATACACACCCACACACACACACATACATATATATGTGTATGTATGTAATATACCTATATAGTGAAGAATTCTGGGTGTCATATTAGGTTTCTCATCAAAAGTCCTGGTGGCACAGAGGTGGAATGGTCAACTCTTTCTGGAGCATCAGGAAAGACTCGTATAGGAGTGACCTAATGCAATTAAGATAAAATGCAAGCCGGGCTCGGTGGCTCAGCCTGTAATCCCGCTCCTTTGGGAGGCTGAGGTGAGGGGATTGCCTGAGCCCACGGGTTCGAGACCCGCCTGGGCAGCGAGACCTCATCTCTACAATCAAAAAAATCAGCCGGGCGTGGTAGCGCGCGCCTGTAGTTCCGGCTACTCGGAAGTCTGAGGCGGAAGGATCGCCGGAGCCCAGCGGGTCGAGGCTGCGGTGGCCGGGAGCGGCCACTGCACTCCAGTCTGGGCGACAGAGTGAGACTCTGACTCAAAAAAAAAAAAAAAGATAAAATCCAAACTTCTTCCCAAGCCTACCAGGTCCTGTGTGATCCATCACTGCCCGTCTTACCCCAGCCCCATATCTTGCCAAAGCACTGGCCACACGGGACTTATTTCAGTTTCAGGAAAACTCTACATTTAGGTCTATCCAATGTGGTGATCATTAGCTACATGTCGCTGTTGAGCACTTGAAATACAGCTAGCCCAAATTGAGTTATGCTGTACGTGTGAAATATACATCAGATTTTGATAACTTAGCACAAAAAGGAATGTAAAACATTCTATTTACAGTGGTTTTTATATTATATGTTGGTGATATTTTAGATGTACTAATTTTATAAAATATGTTGAAATTAATGTCAACTGTTACTTTTTACTTTTCTAATGTGGTTCCTAGAAAAATGTAAATTATGCGTAGGACTTCCTTACATTCCATTTGGACAGCACCACTCTGGACTCTCCTTCCCTCAGGACCTTTGTCCATGCTGTTTTCTTGGCTTTCAGTGTGCTCCTTCTCCCTCTTTCTCTCGCAGGCTGTCCAGTTCTTTAGGTGAGGCCACCTCCTCCGGGACGTTTCCTAGACACTTTACCCAAGTAGGCCTCTGCCATTTTTCTCAGGGGCATCACTGTGTATCTTCTTCAGTTGACACCTTGTCTGTTTCCTGGTTTGCTGTCTGCCTCCTCTCCTGGGGTCTAGTGACCAGACTCCAAGTCCAGGAAGGCCAGGGCCCCGCTGGTCTTCGTCGCCCCGTCCCAAGAATCTGGCACATGGCATGAGCCCAGTGGAGCCTGAGTGAATGCCCAGGGCCTGCAGTGCAGAGGGACGTGGTAACGTGGCTCCCGCCCCCCGCCCCTGCCAGGCCCTGGAGCGGCTGATTCACCCGCAGCTCTGTGAGCTGTGCATCGAGGCGCTGGAGCGGCACGTCGTCCAGGCGGTCAACACCAGCCCCGAGCGCGGCGGCGAGGAGGCCCTGCACGCCTTCCTGCTCGTGCACTCCAAGCTGCTGGCCTTCTACTCCAGGTGAGCCCCGGTTCCCGCCCTCCCGCCTTGTCCCCTCTGCCTGAGAACCACCACGTCCCCGCCAGGAAAGCTGTCGAGACCCGTCTCCTCCGGGAAGCCTTCCTGCATTCGATTCTCCACCCCTTTACTCACTCTCTTCTCCGGACTATTGCTTCTGGATGCTTCTTAGCATCTCAGTTTGGGATTTCCTTGGATGCGGTGACTGGTTCCTGGTACTTCCCCACTGGGAAAGAAAAAGAAAGATTTTTCTTTCTTTTTTTCCTACACAAAGTTTTACTTTAAAAATGGATGAGTTAATTAATCATGTGCGTGCCTTGCCTATCTCCAGAAAGGACCGAGTCCGCTGGCATTTGCAGACCCGTCAAGGGCCGGGCGGCTCTGCACTCCCTCACCCACCCATCCGCCCGCCCCCTGCTGCCTGCCCGTGCGTGCTTACGGGTGCCGGGTCCCTGTCTCTGCAGCCACAGCGCGGGCTCCCTGCGCCCCGCCGACCTGCTGGCCCTCATCCTCCTGGTTCAGGACCTCTACCCCAGTGAGAGCACCGCGGAGGAGGACGCCACCCAGGTGTCGCAGCTTAATGGGAAGCAGGCGGCCTTGAGGAGGGGCTCGGGAGACCCGCAGGAGGGTGGCGGGCAGGCGTCCCCAGGAGCCAT